AATAGGGAGAAATCAGTAGATATTTTTTAAAATAGCATACATACACTCAATTTTTAAACAGAAAATTACATTTGGTAATTGAACTGGGAAAGGTGTTATAATTTATACAATTTATAAGAAATAAAATCTGACAGATAAATGTCACTAACATCTGCATGGTTGCAATAATCAAATGATGTGATATTTGTTTGGAATTAGAAGTACTAAAGAGAAAATTGACAATGAGCCAGTAATTGTATGCACACTTGTGCCTCACACTTGTTTCCCCTGGGAGGTGAAACCAGGAGGATCAGGAGTTCAAAACCATCCTCACATACATAGTGTGTTTGACACAAGCCAGCCTGGGCTACGTAATGTTCTGGAACAAAACAAAACAAAACTAAATCCACGAAAATCTCATGAGAATACTTAGGATCCTTTTAAATAATACAAAGGTAGGAAAGATTTGTTTTGATCAAGACTCAAAACTTAGACTACATGTGAAAGAGAAAAAAATCTTGACTACATCTTTTTATAGAAAGTCTCCCCTACTACTCATAATGTGTCTGGCACTGGTCAATTAGGAGAAGCAGTTCTCAGATCCTATTTAATTCTCATAACTGAATTAGGTAGTCATTACAGCTATTTTACACAGAAAGACAGTAATGTATAAGTCCTACAGCTGGGAAACCATCACCAAGGAAACCATTAATGGAGTCAAAGGCTAACGACAGATCTGAGAGGAAATCAATGCAACACAAAGAAAAGGGAGTTATTATCTGTATCATAAACATAGTTTGTAGAACTTATTAAACAACAAAAGATGGCGAGAAAGAAGGAGCCTGAGCCAACATAAAATGTGTAAATATGCATTACACAGAATAGGAAATTCAGACGGTCAGTAAATATGAACGTTGTATCAGTTACTTGTCTGTTTCTGTGATAAATCACCATGGACAAGGCAACTTATAAAATGCAGTTAGTTTTGCCTTACAGTTCCAAAGAGCTTGAGTCCGTCATGGCTGGGGCAGTATTGCATCTGGCAGCATCACAGCAGCTGGAGCAGTGAGAGCTTATGTCCTTTAACACAAGCAGGAAACAGACAGAGTAAATGGGAAGAGGGATGAGAATAAGCTCTCAAAGCCTGGTTCCCTGGATGCACTTCCTTGAGCAAGGCATTATCACTGAGACACTTGGTTGTTCAGCTAAAAGGATTGAGCTGGTTAATCTATCAATGACATTATACCTCTCCATTCGCTAAATATCCAGAGTGAGATCCACAGCACTAATAATGCTGACTTATTATTTTGAAACTTTTCTGAATTGAATGTTTGAGAAGTCAGATTTCAAATTTATTTATCATTAATAGATGTACACTTAGAGATACAAATGCATAGATTTTCAAAAGAAAATCACTTTCAGAACTGAAAAAAGATCAGAAATTCATACATGACTATCACATTGTCACCCCCGCCCCTCTCTTCCCTCCAACTTCTGTTTCCTTCCAAATTCATGAATTTTTCTTCTTTAATAAACACATATAGTGTTTATTTATGTGGATGTGAAAACACTAAAACACTGCCTGTGCAGTCAATGTAAATAATAGTTCTGCAATTCCTAGGACAGCTGTTAGCAAAATTGTTAGACAAGACATCTGCCAAGGAGAGCTATAGAGTGGGAATGGAACCATCCCAAGAGAGGCAAGTGTGCGGCACTCAGCCAAGCTGGGCAGGCAGAACCACTGAAGCCCTCTGACATCAGACAGGGAGGATTTAGACTTTGCCCTGCTGCATTTCTTACTTTGGCCTAGTATATCCCTCCTCTGTCCCTCATTACTTCCCTTTGGAAAGGTAATATATGTTCTGTGCCTTTTTATGTGGGAAGTATGCAATTTGCATTTTCCTTTTGATTTCTACATGTAGTTATAGGTAAGAGACTGCTGTGCATCTCACAAGTGATTTTGAAATTTTAAACTGTGTTGAGACTGGAAGGATATGGAGACTTTTGAGGTTGAACTGAATGCATTTTGTTCTCTGATATACCCACAAGCCCATAGGGACCAGGATGTAGAACGACCCCCTGGAACTCTGATTTCAGTACTTGGTTCACAGTTGGTGGAATGGTTTGGGAATGATTAGGGGATGGAGTCTTGAGTTGGTGTGTCACAGGGCATGGGCTTTGAGGTCTAAAAAGCCTCATGCCATTCCAAGTGACTTTTGTTCTGCTGCTGCTTTTGGGTCAAAATGTCACCTCTGAGCTGCTCTTTCCACAATGCGTTTTGCTAGGCTACTGTGAATCCCGTTGCTCTTTACCAGGAAGCCTCAATAAATTCCTTTTTTCCTTAAATTGCCTTGCTAATGGTGTCATATCACAGCAATGGAATGATAACGAAGACAACGTCATTTGGGAAAACTAAGATATACAAAAATGATCAATGATATTAAAGAACTTTGATAATTTCTATACTTTGGAAAACCAGAGTATAATTTTTAAAATCACTGGCATTGGTGACATTTTTGAGACAATTTAGGTAAAAGTCAGAAAGTAATGTTATAATTATGTAGTACAATTGATGACCGAACAAAATGTCCTAGATGAACACAGCAATTTTGGAAAGGTTGAATTTCCAAAACAACTCAATAAGTAACATTTCTTTGGAGTGGATGATGTGTTGAATGAGAATTTTCTCAAGTTAATGAAAAATAAATGAAAAAGCAAAGAGAATGAGGTGTGACAAGGTCAAGGGCAAATACAAGGAAGGACACTGCCCTAGAAGCACCCTGCATGACAGAGAACACCAGAGGGCCAACATTGTCAGCAAGTAATTATTAAAGAGAGACTTGTTAATTGATACTTTTAAAAATGAAGGTCCTGTAATAATTTCAAGCTATCTACAATGAATATTAAACTCAATAAAAAAAAACCCTTAAATTTCAAAAATGCTAATTCCTAAATAAATGCAAAACTCACAAAGACCCTCAGGCATATGAAATTTACAGCTGTAAAATTTAATTTACATGAAAGTATCCTTGTGCCTCCTTCAGAAACAGTTTGGTCCAAAAAAAGCACAAGGCAGCCCAAACATTCATGAAAGAACACATAAAGTTAAGCAAGAATCACTGGCAGCTGCAATCATTTATTTTTCCAACTCCAGCTCATGCTATAGCATGCCTGCTAGATACAAGGTAGAATAATAAAAGGCAAAAAAAAAAAGTTGATGAAAGAAACAGCCAGAAGGCTTTTAACACCTTTTTAAACCCACTATTCATATGTCCTTGAATTTTAAATTAGAATCATATCAATGGGAATTAATTTTATGCCATTAAATTTCCCAAATATTCCCTTTGGTGTAGCTATGTCACCCAATAAAACACAAAAGAGAATTTTTAAGTTTTAATTAATTATAGAAATGAAAGGACTCTAATTTCATCACATATTTGCAAAAATACTATAATATTAAAGTATGACTGGCAAATTTAGAGTCCTTTTAATTTTCCTTACTAATTGTTAACTGAAGAGCAGGGAACAGAGCTCAGTGATTACATGATTGGCATGCATTTAAGTCCTAGCTTAGATGCTCTGAACCTTTAAAAATAGTTATTGCCTTTTACTATGCTTTAGGTCTACAGTTAGGTAGCTAAATTGGATAAGCAATTGTCTAACTTTCAAGTTTATTTTTAATTTTGATTCTTTTTAAATATAATGTTTTTATTTCGTCTTTGAGAATTTCATTCATGCATGCAGTGTATTTTGATTCTCTTTACTCCAACTCTCCCATGCCAACTCCCCCTATACTCTATACATTTTCTTCATTATTTTCCTTTATCTTCTGTTAAAGGAACCAGCTGTTCTGTTAAGATACAGACAGCTGTACATTGGAGAAATTCTCATTTGGATAGGCTGGTCAACATGTTCATTGGGCCCCATTTGTCTGAAGAGTTTTAAATGATTTTCTCAGGAACATCTTTTAAATATTCTAATGCTGTGAAATAATCCTTCTGTACATTGTGAAGATGTATTTGTCTCATTGTTAATAAAGAGATGACTCTTCAATAACTGGGTAGGTAGAGGTTAGGCAGAATTTGCAGACAAAAAGAGAGCATGAGTAAGAAAATGGGTAGTCAGGAGGAGTCACCAGCCAGATGCAGAAGAAGAAAATGAACATGCCATGCTGAAAAAAAGAAAAGGTATGGTCATGTGGTAAAATGTAGAGATGAAATATGAGTTAATTTAAGTTGCAAGAGCTAGTTAGTAACAAGACTAAGCTATTGGCCAAATATTTATAATTAATTCTAAGTCTTCATGTGGTTATTTTGGAAGCCAGCTGGCAGGACAGAACTGACTGGTGAGACAGAAAACTCCACCTACAAATGACATCCAATGTGGGGCTTGAACCCATCACCCTGAGGTTAACAGTCTTATGCTTTAAGTGAATTGAACATTGTGAATATATTTCTTACTTGATAATTAATTGTTCTTGTTGTATGTAATTTCATTTTTGTTAAGGTTAATACCTTTCCTTTCTGTTTAGATAGTACTTGATAATCATTCTTATTGTGTTAAGATTAAACTTAATTAAATGGACAAAAATATAAATACATAATACAATAACTAAGTTTATGAGATGAGATAAGTCATAACAAGTTAAGCATACTAGAAAGTGTGTTTGGAATAACCATAGTGTAGTTTAATTCCAATAAAGCATCTGGTCTATATCCAGAAGATTCCAAAACCAATGGGTGCTCTGAGGAAAATCTATCCCTAATAAAAATGAACCCAACTATTTATTATTAATAAACTAAAACATTTATACAAAAAAGTATTGGAAAAAGAAACTTTTCTTAAGAGCTTTAGAGTATCATAAGGAAAAGATAAATTTTAAGCACAAATAAGCAAAGATTAAACCTTGTGCCTTTTGCATAATGAATTAACTAGAAACTACCTAAGAGAACTTTAGCTAGAAACCCTGAAACCAAATGAGCTACCTAAGAGCAATTTTAAGAATGAATCCATCTGTGTAGCAAAATAGTGGGATGACTTCTAGGTATAGGCAAAAAGCCTAATGAGCTTGGTGATAGCTGGTTACTCAATAATGAATTTTAGTTCAACTTTAAGTTTACCATAAGAACATAAATCCAAATGTAAACTTAAAATATAGCCTAAAGAGGGACAGGTCTTTAGGAATGGAAATAACTTTTAATAGTGAATAAGCCTCATACATTAAAACCATTGTTGGCTTAAAAGCAGCCACCAATAAAGAAAGTATTCAAGTTCAACATTTAAAACATAATAACACTTAAAATCCATAGGAAAATTCCCATAATTAAAATTGGGTTAATCTATTAGTATATAGATGAGAAACTGTTAATATGAATATCAAGAAATTTATTCTCCATGCACATGCCTATAACAATTTGGACAACCATTTTTAGTTAACAACTTCATAGGTAATTATTCTACCCATAAAATATACCTATATAAGTTAAAATAATGTTAACAATAAAAATTTCTTTTTTAATTAGACAAAAAGAAGGAAATGTTTTGGAATCGTCTTTTTGTATACTGTGAAGATGTGTCTTTGACTAGGTGCCTTCTGATTGGTTTAATAAAAGGGTAAATGGCCAAGAACCAGGCAGGCAGGGGTTGGGCTGGATTTGCAGACAAAGAAAGAGAGCATGTGGAATGAGAAAGGGGGTCACCAACAAGACACAGAGGAAGCAGAAGATGAACATGTGCTGAAGAAAGGTACCACCTTGTGGTAGAGCATAGATAAAAAATATCAGTTAATTTAAGCTGTAAGAGTTAGTTAGTAACAAGCTTAAGCTACCAGCTGATCATTTATAGTTAATAATAAGTCTCTGTGTGGTTATTTTGGGAGTTGACTGGTGAGATAGAATTGACTGATGGCAGAAAACCCCACCTACATTCCAACATCATATTACTTATCTCTTACTTTGTACTACATTTAGTTCCATTTTTTGCTAATTCCTCACAACTCTGAAGATATTGCTACAAAACACAATAGTTTGGATAATACACACATAGTGACATATGTCCACATTTTCAAGGAATTTAAAAATTTGTGATTTTCCCCATCTTTTCTTTCTTCTATAATTAAATCCTAGATATCAAGTAACCATTTCTTATGGAATTTCAAATGTTATATTAAGCAGAATAGCTGGGTACTACATAAGATCTTGAGAATGAATTTTGTTTTCACTTATAAGAATTTGTCTGAATATAGAGCCTTTAAAAACTCCATTTATTCATATCCATTTTATCTATTACTTTTTTTCTTTATTGTTTAATTTCTTAAGTGCTAATCACCAATACTACCTTCCCTATTCTTATGTTCAAAATTCTGCTTGGTTTTCCACTCTTAATGGAATGTGAAATATTGATGTTTGCAAATGTTTCCCCCCAACCACATCTTGTTCCTTTTTATTCAAGCATCACCATGTATCGACCTCCCGCTTTGTATTTTCAGCTTTTCACACCATGTCTCTCAATATTTCCTATTTTTACCAAATTCATGGTATGGTGTACATTGAAGAGCTTACCTTCAAAACATTCTTTTCTCTTGAAAAGATACAAGTAGTTTTCCATCAAGAAGGACTGAAATGTGCATCATTCTATTTACCACTGCCACACCAAAACCTTTATCAAGATTTGCAAGATTTTCAAAAAATTTTTTCTGGAAGCACTCATACTTGCTTTCACTTACCTTCTATTAACATATCTTTCAGACTCAAAATCACATTAGTTATGGTGCTTAGTTTCTTATTTTTATATATTCATTAAATATCTCCCTAATACTAATTTTTCCTTGAACGAACCCATAAATTGTCTAAAATTATGTATTTCATTAAAAAACACTACTTTATTCCTTATTCATATAAAATAATGCAGCCAAAGACTCTTTAGCTTGCCCTCTTCAAGTGAGTCTTTCAATTCATCCCTTTTCCTTGATAAGATCAGTCTATAATTATCATTTCAGAATGTCTTGGGTATGCTGTATTTCAACCTACTTACTATGTATTTTTTACAATCTCTGAAGTTCTGGTAGAATTATAAAGTTTAACAGTTTTAAACATACTTTCAGTACCAAAGTGTTCTTATCTATCTCCCTCTTTTGTGAATGAAGTCCCTTTAGTAATATATACCCCATCACATTAATGATTATTCTACTTATTTAGTGAATGAAATATAAATATACATGCTTTAATCATCACATATGTATGAATTAGTTCATGAAATTATATGTATATCATATATGATATATAGTCTACATTTTACAAGTAAGTTTTAAGCTATTGAGAAAAGAATTGTATATATAGGTTTTGTATAACTCTCATGAGTTTTAGAACAGACCTGTAACTGGTTAATCTTCAATGTAAGCCATTTAATAAGTCAATACTTTAAAATGAGTAAAATGTGGAGATTATAGCCTATTAGGATATAAAGCTGATACATTTGCAAGAATAATGATCCCCTGAATAACCATTAAAGGTAATGCAAGAATATGGAAGAAGAAAAAATATAGGAATTTCTAGCAATGTACATGTTAAGCTCAGAGAAAACAGTTTATAGCAGAAAGTTTATGGTTGTTTATCTTTAATATACTGATTAATCTGGACTGGTTGAAGCTTGAGAATTAATCAGTGTGATTTTCTTCATGCATTAAATTAACTAATAAAGAAAAAAGACTGGTAATTGTCTTGTTGTCTTCATCAGTAAAAGCCCTAAGTATCTATCCACTGAACAATACTCCATTGTCTAATATTTAGCCCATGGTGTAAATGTTACACATTGAGTATTACTCCACTGTTTAAAAAAATAACACCATGAAATTTGCAGGCAAGTGGATGGAACTAGAAAAAAAATCATCTTGAGACAGTAACCCAGACCCAAGAATACAAACATGGCATGTATTCACTTATAAATGGATATTAGCTGATAAGTAAATGATAGTCATGCTACAATCCATGAACCCAGAAATGCTAAATAACTAGGAGATCTCTAAGTATGATGCATGGATCTCCCTGGGAAGAGCAAATAGAATAGATTTTGTGGGTAGACTGGGGGTAAGGGTGAGGATGGGAATAGGAGGGGTCAGATTTTGGGGGGGATGGATGTAGAGAGAGAGTACAGGCAAAGACACCTGGAATTGGAGGCCATTTGGGGAGCAATGTAGGAACCTAGTACAGTAGAAACCCCCAGAATTCTATGAAGGTGCCACTAGCAAGGACTCCTAGTAATGGATACTTTGACTAACTGGCCATTTTCTGCAATCAGACAACTTTCAGTGCTGGGATTGGGATACTAACCCAGGCACAAAACCTTCAACCTACACTCTATCTTGTCTGCAGGATATTTGGGGCCAAAGGAGGCATAGAACGTGTGGGAATGGCCAACCAATGACTGGTCTAATTTGAGGATCACACCATGAAAGACAGCCAATGCCTGACATGACTTAGATAACCAGGACCCTGAAGCTGGATAGGCCTAGGATAGGAAAAACTTAATAAAATGATCCCTAATAATAGTCTGCTATACTCATAGGTCAATGCCTGGCCCAATAGTAGTCAGAGAAGAGTCCTCTAGCAGCTGATGAGAATGGAGATAGAGACACACAGCCAAACATTAGGGAGAGGGAGAGGGAGGGCGAGGGGGAGGGCGAGGGCGAGGGGGAGGG